ATTTTGGCAGATATTGTTAACACTTGTATTTGCTAAAAGTTTTTTGTGTTTTTAGGTTTTATTTTTGTGTTTTTCGTTTGAAAGTGTTAAGGATTTCAGGGAGCTTTGAGGAGAATGGGTGAATGCTACGTTCATTAGATTAAGTTCGTTTTTTATGTTTTTACTTGGCCACCTAGAGGATGGAGCAAAAAGAGCAGTTTGGTGTGATAAAGATCGGGGGCCGAATTAAGCCTGCAGCAGGCTATAAAAAAATACCAAATTTGAGTACTCGCTTCTTTAAACAAATTGCTATTTAATCAATGTTATATATCAATTACAATTTTTAGGTTGTTAAATCCATAATCAATTTTGTTGAGTCTTAGTATTTGCGAGTTTCTTTATGATTTTTTTTGTACAGAAACATTAATTTAATTTGAGTTGGCCTATAACATTGAATATGAGGGTTGGTAAGTTAGTTGTCACATGTTGGCCGGCGAGATGGCTCAGTGGCTATCATATACTCAAAGTATATGATGCGGTGCTTGCGCGTGCACATAAGTACATGTGTACGTTGCATGAAAAAAATAAACAGCCTTTGTGGCGAAGATGGCTGCTTCAAATCAATAAATGAAGAACATAATAAAAGATATATGGATAATATGTACGCAACATTGTAAGCGGTTTTGCGTATGTCAGAGCTGCAAATATATAGACTAAAAAACGTGGACGTTGACTTAAAAACAATCGCGTCATTATTATTTACAACCTCCAGTGATGGCAGTACTTGGAAAATGTACTTTAGTACAAAAAAATTGAGTACTTAGTATTTTTAAGTACTTAAGTATACTTAATTTGAAAGATTTATAAATTCATTAACTTCAAAAGTCAACCCATCATTTACATTAATTTATTTTCATCAATAAAATTAAAAGATTTTGTTTTTCAAGTAAAAGTGAAGTTTCAAACTTAAAAGATTTGTTTTAGGGGTAAGAATCGGCCTGGCTATATAAACGTTTAACAGAAGCCGATGAGGGCACAGTGGAGTTGTATACTTCAAAAACATTTGTATGACAGAAGGATACCTAAAAAAAAACAATAATTTAGTTTTTAACCGAAAATATTATCCAATTTTTTATTAATGCTAGTGTAAACAGTTAAACACCATTGCGCTTAAAATTATCTGGGTTTATCTAGGTAGTTGCACGAGAAAAAAATGCATGAATCTTATTTACGTCCTAATGACTGGTTATTCCAATATAACTTCGAGTATGTTGCATGACGTGTTACCATGGAAAATAGTTTACACGGTCGGCTTAAATATATTTATCTATAATGTATAATATAGATATATAAAATCTCAACAATACCAAAATCTGAAACAATCCTGATTGGAGGCGATCTCAATAGCCACGTTGGAGAGAAAACATATGGTTTTTACAACGTACATGGCGGTTTTGGCTATGGAAAACGGAATGAAGATGGCAACCGCATCCTTGAGTTTGCTGAAAGTCACGGGTTTTGTTTACTGAACACATATTTTAGAAAGAGGTTGGAACATCTCATAACATACAAAAGTGGGCCATCAGCCACGCAAATTGATTTCTTTGCTGTCAAGCAACCACACCGAAGGCTGTTTAAAAACGTCAAAGTTATACCAGGCGAATCATGTGTCGCCCAACATAGACTCCTTGTGGCAGACTTGGTTGTCGAACTGTCAAAACATAAGTCTAAACAAATGCCTCGGAGAATCAAAACGTGGAAGCTGAAAAGTAATATTCATCGAGAAAAATTTCAACAGATTGTCGCCACACAGTTAGACCACCAATCGCAAGCCAGTACAGATTGGAGTACATACAAAACCGTTTTAATGAACGCTGCAACTACAGTTTGTGGGAAAACTGGTACAAAACGTCAGCATGAACATGACACTTGGTGATGGAATGACAGTGTACAAAATGCAATAGCTGAAAAGAAAGTTGCATACAATCAATGGCAACAATCAAAGTCTGTTGATGACCATAAAATTTTCCGGGAGAAGAACAACTATGCAAGACGTCAAGTTGCACTGGCTCGGACAGATCAGTGCAGAGAGTGGCTCACTAAAAGCAAAGGTGAACAAATGAAATAGCAAAACAAGCAAAGCGTACGAAAAAGGACATAGTTGGTGCCTCACGTATCAAAAACGACAAAAATGAGATGGTTCTTAAACAAGATGAGATCAAGCTACAGTGGAGAGAATACTTCAATCGTCTGTTAAACGAAACAAATCCCATCAATGTTAACTTTGACGCTCCACCCATAGAAGGTCCGATTCCAGACATCACTTTAGAGGAGCTTACAGAAGCTCTGAAAGCTATGAAGGATGGAAAGGCAGCAGGGCCCTCGGGAATCACAAATGACATTATCAAAGCATCTGGTACTGCAGGTATCCAAACGTTACTACAACTTTGCCGTGAAATCTGGAGAAATTGCTCAATGCCGACAGAATGGAACTATAGCATGACAGTTCCGCTATACAAAGGCAAAGGTGATCCATTAAACTGTTCTTCATATCGGGGTATACGTCTGTTAGAACACTCCCTGAACATTGTCGAAAAAATCATTGAGAGAAGATTAACGTCGTGCATCACAATCTGAAATTATTTATTTGGTTTCCTAGCGGGAAAATCAACAATTGATGCAATTCACATCCTTCGGCAACTGCAAGAGAAGTACCTCGCAAAGCATCAACAACTATCACACATTTTTGTCGACCTTGAAAAAGCATTTGATCGAGTTCCCCGTGAAGCAATCAGGTGGAGTCTTTGTCGACAACTCATTCCAGAATATCTTGTTCGACTTGTGATGGAAATGTATACGAATACTAAGACTCTCGTTAGCACGACGGTTGGAAACACAGATGCATTTGACATCGGCGTTGGAGTTCACCAAGGCTCGATTCTCAGTCCATTGTTATTTATAACTTTGATGGATGATACGCACCGGTGACATTTGGAATCTAATTTATGCTGATGATATCGTTTTAACAGCCACGTCTAAGCAGAATGCAGCACAGATGTTTGAAGATTGGAACACCAGACTCGCCGATTATGGATTCAAAGTCAACATCAGCAAAACCAAAGCAATGAACACTGGTGAACCCATCCAATCCACAGCTACTGAACGATGGCCCTGTTCAGTTTGTAAAGCTGGTGTAGATAACAATTCAATCAAGTGTCAGCAGTGTAACCAGTGGTGTCACAAACATTGTTCAAAAATAATTGGTACTTTATCTAATGTATCCAATTTTGTTTGTCAAATTCGAAATAGCAATGTTTTTGAAGCCATTAAGGTAGAGAAAGTCACATCGTTTCAATATCTAGGGGATGTTCTGGATTGTACTCGAACAGCTGAAGCTGCCGTTCGAGCACTCATACGTGCGGCCTCGAATAAATGGCATCTCCTTGCCTCTATATTGATGCTTTGTGACATCCCACTATCACTACGATCAAGACTTTATAAATCTGTGATACGTCCGGTGTTGTTATATGGTGCAGAAACATGGCCAATGACAACCAAACTGGAACAACAACTTCAACGAACCGACATGAAAATGCTCCGATGGATGCAACGAATTAGTCTGAAGGACCACATCAAATCTACCGAAATCCTGCGTCTTGCTGGTTTAGATGATATAAAGGACGAATGCCGGCAATACCGTCTGCGGTGGTTTGGTCATGTCAAACGAAGTAGAAACAGTGCCATAACTTCTCTTGCAGGTGTTGAAGTACCTGGCACACGTCCCAAAGGCCGTCCAAAGAAGTCCTGGTCGCAAACAATCGAGCAAGACATGAAAGCTCTAAATTTAAATGAAATGGATACAACTGATCGTCTAATTTGGCGCAAAAAGTTGATGGCAAAGAAAACAACGTCCTACCTCGGGAAACCGGGTCTCTGGACGCAAAACGAAGATTGATTGAATGTATAATATAGATAGTGTCATATACAATACATTTAAGATGGTATTGTTGAGATACCAATGTGGAAAAATCTTGGCATGCTTTTGTTGTTTACATAGAATAATATTGAAACTTTAAATTTGACTCCGCTTTTCATTAATACTCATGACCAACCGAAGCGCTTCATTTTATTTAAATAAATTATTAAACAAATAATTTAAAAAATTGTTTAAATATTGAAAATGAAATAAAGTCATTATTATTAAACAAATAATCATAAGATATATAATATGGATATTGCAGACGCGTTATATATATTCATTGTTCACATATATATAACATCAAGGTCAATCTAACAAATATATGTTGAAAAATGAATATCTATCAGGCGGAACCAATATTGTCAAATTGGCTAAACAGTTTGAACTAATATATTTTTGTTTAATAATATTACACGGAATAATTAAAAATTTAATTTTATTATATAAGCATTATTATTATTCGGCTACGATGAAGCGTATCTAACAGGCGGACTCAATCATGTCAAATCGGCTGAACAGTTTGATCAAATAAATTTTCGTTTAATGAAAATACACGGATATATTAAAAATTAATTTTGTTACATAAGAATCTGCGTTTCGTTATTATTTTGAAAACGATACATAACGATACGATAACAATACGATAACGAGGTATTGAAGACTATATATTGATATAATAAAATCATGTGCACAAGTATGTACACAAGTTGTATGATGATTTTTGAGTTTTTGAAAGATAGTATTTGAACATCGCGCAATAACAATGACGCTTGGCACATTTACAGTCTGCCCTTAGTTGTTTTCCCGCCAACTCCGCTTTACAAAATGTACTGTATTAAAACAGAAAAAAGTTAAAGGTCAATTACACTCCTCCAAAGTTCAGAGGATTCAACAGAGCGCAAAACATCGTAAATGAACATCGTGCTAAACGACGCATTACACACGAAGCAGGTGATACGCGGGGATATTTTTGTCACATTCGAACCCAGTTACTGCGAAACAGAACCAGGCGACCTTAACCATTAGACCATCACGCCGCCCAGTTATTTCGCCCAGAAAACAGCCATTCAATTGAAAAATTAAACAAAAGTTTGTTTTGTTCGTATTTTTTATTTGATACGAGACTTTTTGGAGAATGTCTCGATTTAATAACGATACGATATTTTTAGAGTCTTTATTAAACCAAAGTCATTCCATTGGAAAAAATTAAATAAGTTTTAATATTTTATATCACTTTATTTTTTTACAGTGTGCACTTTTACCATTTCCACACATTGAAATAATGGTACGAGACGGAAATTGTGTCTTTTATTTTTTATTTCGATATGATAAACTTTCCTAAAAATGTCTTGTTTAAATAACGATAGGAGATCTCTGGTATTGTTATTAAAGGATACGAGATTTTTCGTATCGTTTTATAACGATACGAGATATTTTTTTACCGTTATTATTATTAAATCTCTGTCGATTGGTAACGAAAATAACGGTTCGAGACGCAGGTGCATAGTATAAGATTCTATATATTATTTTGTTGACATCATAATACAATTTTAAAATTGTACAGTATATTATCGAATATTTTAAAATTGTGTTATACTTTGATTTATAAATTAATTTTAATGAACTCGGTGAATTAAACAGGAACTGCAAAGAAGTATTGGACTTAATTATGGAAGTTTTTGGTCCTTGTTGTTATCTCGCAAACAACCTAAGTGCACCACAGTTTTGAAGTTTCCTGTATCTGATGTGTTACAACGTCATTCCTGCTCTTGCTTGTAGTATAGTTTATAATTTGATTAACACAAAATGGCAATACCAGAATAGAATAACGTGATTGTACTTTTTGGACTTTTTTAAATTTTAGATGTTTTTTAGATTATGTTTTGAAACGGAATAAAATTAAGAAAAATACTTTTAAAAGTATGCTGCATGTTTAAACTCTAGTGTTACTTTTGAAAAAAATGTTCATGTTTTAATTCTCGTAATTTAATTCGCGGCATTCTTTTTTTTTTTAAACGAGTTATTTGCTACAAATTTTTGTACCAGATCCCCGTTTTTTGTTGGCTTCTCTAAAAAAAATTACGTTTATACTAATATAAATTGTTTTAATTTTACACGTAGTGGTAGTTGACGACTCAACTTCCTTCATTGTTTTTTTGCCCAAAGTGACATAAAAATTACATCACAAAACGGACCGGATTAGCGTAGATCCAGATGTTTATGTTTCGTCAGTAAATACCGTCAGTGAAACAGCACATTCAATCCAGGACGTTGCTCGTCAATAGTTTTATATTTCTGATGCTGCGTCACATCAGAATTTATCAAATGGAGGCATTGGTCCATTGTTAACAGCTCAAGGTTATCGACAAATTTTTAGTGTTATTTTGGAACAGGAAATAGCGAAAGAGTAGGCCTGTTATTTCAATTCAGTTAAACCTGAAAACGAAAACGACGAAACCAAGTATTCATTTGTCATAACTATGGCGTGATGGCTCAATGGTTAAAGGCGCCTGGTCTTGCTATTGCATTGACTGGGTTCGAATACAAAGAGATCCCCGCCTATCATATGCAATGTGTATGATGCGTGGTTTGCACGCGTATTCATATACGCTCTGTGTGTTTGTCGTTGAAACCTCTGAAGCAAACGCAAAAGAGAGAGAGAAACCTTTAACTTTTTAATCTTTATGGTAAATATTTAATAACTTTCTTTTTTGTTGTAATGATATTTGATGCTAATAACATTCAACCCCCAACCTGTGTATCAATCAACTTCGATATTAGGGTTTGTTTATGACATTTGTTTGTTACATTTTGAAACCGCAATTTTTTAACATTACGTAAAAAAAGTTATAAATGTTTTAGTAAATGAGTAATTAAGTCATAACACACACACAAACACATTTATATAAAAAAATGGATATATAGGTACATATATAATATATATATACAAAGATATATTAAACAATGCATACTTTTTTATAAACTTTTTATTACAAATAAAAACGTTAAAAATTTATTTCGTGCACTTTAGAGAATAAATGATGTTTCTCTTAAAGTTCATCATTCCACGTTCATTCAGGTGGATGCCGTCAGGTCCTATATTATTATCTCCTCCCACTCTGTCAAGCTTCCAGAAATGAACAATGTTAGACTGGAATTGTTTCAATGAGACATTTAGTTTATCAACTTTCCATTTCTGAACGTCTTTTCTATAAACCAGGCTTAATATGATTATTCGGCGCGGTCTGATTTTGTTCTCTAACAGTCTGAGTAAGGATTCATATCTTGCGGCCACGAGTTCCGGGGTTTCAGTCGTCAAATCATTGCCTGGCATTTAATATTAATGATTAAAAATTAAACAAAACTGTTATTATATTAAAAGAATAATGAACCAAAATTGGGAATAAAATTGTCTATTGGAAGATGCAAGTAAAACAGGACGTTCAATCATATAGTTTTATTTTTATGATTCTGCGTCAAATCAAAATTAGTCAAATGGAGGCATTAGTTCATTGTTAAAAGTTCAGCGTAATTGACAAATTTTTACTGTTAATTTGATACAAAAAATAGCGAAAGGTATAGGAAGAGAAAAGTTACTTAAGGATTTTTATAACTAAAAATTGTATGAAGCCGCAAAAACAAATGTTACGATAACTATATCTGTTAGCGATATTGATACCTGTAGCGTGCAATCACCAACTCATGCACATAACATTTTGATTTTCAGCACACACCACACACACATATTATATATATTATACAACTATCATAATACATGGGTTAGTAATACTTGGTACATATATATATTTATTTAATCGCTAGGGTTTGGATTTTTTAATACTAAACGTTTTTCTTTTATTATTATAACGTATTATTATATTTTTTTCTGTTTTCATACATTTCAATTAAAGCTAAAACTTATATTTTATAAATATGCCTTATTAATTTGTCGCAAAAACACTCTAATTTATTATATTTTACCACGTATATATAGTTAAAATTTATACGCTTGTCAATCTGTACTGTTCACAATTATAGTCATCACAAACTTTTTTCAATTTAAAATATTTAAATTTCACTTTTTGCTGCAATTGCATTAGTATTTATTAATTTTGAGCTAAAATAAAAACATATTTTGTTTTTTTTTTGTTAGTTGAAATGTTCACGCGTTAAAGAACTATAATTCAATTACTGTGCAATGCATATTATTCATTAAACGGATCAACATTTTTATTAAATTACAGTCTAGTTTGGATGAACGGGGTTGGTTTGGCCACGTTTGCAGGAGCCTAAAGCAGAGAAATAACTTCACCAATCGAAAGCGGTAAATGCACTGTCGAAAATGTAAAAAACCAATGATAACATTAAAAATAGAAATTCAAAGATTGCATGACTTATTGCGGAGGAATAAATGCTTTTTAGGGTTAACTGAAAATGGTCCCAAAGGCAACGTTGAATCTTCACAAAACCTACAGAACATAATAACATGCAACAACAATGCCTTAGCCAAGTGGTTGATTGATAACAAAACAATCGTATCCTTAAGATACTGTAAGAAAATATAACTGACATACAATGTTTGTTGCAGCAAGTAGATAACACTGATGTCATCAACGAAGCACAACGGCAAGCCACTCAGACATCACATGATGAAAATGTTGCAATTGTTAAAAACAATTCGCCGGCAGGAGGTATTGATATATCATTTATAATGTATTATAATTTGCATGTGCTACATTAATTTATTTGTAATAAACATTGCCTCAAATCTAATATTCCCTTTTTGCATGATGGTATTTTTTCGTCATCTATTTCTAATTCCCAAAAGGTACTAGAACTGAACGAAAAAGGAAAAGAAGTTAGTTGCATGATGTAAACCAACTGCACCATGCATCTTTCAAGTAGTACAGTTGAAGAAGAGGTGTCTCAAGGCTACCGATGACGCAAATTTAGAAATGTATGGATGACGCGTTTAAACCAATATTTAGAGATGTGCACGAAACGGGAGAAAGTTTTGTTTTATATGAAATTTTAGAGGAGGAAATTGTCTATTAGATTATTTAAATGTTTTTGAGATGCACACATAAATGGATTTTTGGCTATTTTTTAACTTTTTCGTTACCGAGAACGCAAATTTAGAAATGTATGGGTGACGCGTTCAATCCAATATTTTGGGAATGTGCACGTAACGGGAAAACGTTTTCTTTTATATGATATTTTAAGGGATGAAATTTTCTATTAAAATATACAATATTTTCCAGATGCACACATAAATAGATTTTTGGCGATTTTTTAACTTCCTCGTTACCGATGACTCAAACTTGAAAATGTAGAGTTAACGTGTTCAATTGAATTTTTGAGAATGTGTACAAAACGGGAGAATGTTTTGTTATATATGGTAATTTTGGGAATAAAATTATCTATAAAAAAATGCAAATATTTTCCAGATGCACACATAAACTGATTTTTGGCAATTTTTTAACTTTCTCGTTATCGATGACGCAAATTTGGAAAAGTATGGTTAACGCGTTCAATCGAATTTTTGAGAATGTGTACAAAACGGGAAATAGTTTTGTTATATATGGTATTTTTGGGATTAAAATTGTCTATAAAAAAATCTAAATATTTTCCAGATGCACGCATAAATGGATTTTTGGCGATTTTTTAACTTTCTCGTTACCGATGACGCAAATTTGGAAATGTAGGGTTAACGCGGTCAATCAAATTTTTGAGAATGTGCACAAAACGGGAAAAAGTTTTGTTATATATGGTATTTATTTTTGGGAATAAAATTGTCTATTAGAATATGCAAATATTTTCCAGATGCACACATAAATGGATTTTTGGCGATTTTTTAACTTTCTCGTTACCGATGACGCAAATTTGGAAATGTAGGGTTAACGCGTTCTATCGAATTTTTGAGAATGTGCACAAAACGGGAAATAGCTTTGTTATATATGTTATTTTTGGGAATAAAATTGTCTATTAGAATATGCAAATATTTTCCAGATAAAATCCATTTATGTGTGCATCTGGAAAATATTTGCATATTCTAATAGACAATTTTAATAGACGCGTTACCCATACATTTCTATATTTGCGTCAACGGTAACCTTGGTACACCTCTCCTTCAACTGCACTACTTAATAGATGCACCATGCAGTTGGTTTATATCATGCAACTAACCTCTTTTCTTTCTAAAGCATTGTAGTTACTTGTTATTATGCTCTGTAGGTTTTGTAAAGATTCATCGTTGCCTTTGGGACCATTTTCAGTTAACCCTAAAAAGCATTTATTTTTCCAGAATAAGTCAATCTGTGAATTTTAATTTTTTATTGTTATCACTAGTTTTTTACATTTTCGATTGGTGAAATTATTTCTCTGTTTTAGGCTCCTGCAAGCTTGGCCAAACCAACCCTGTTCATTCAAAGTAGACTGTAATTTAATAAAAATGTTATTTCGTATAAAGAATAATATGCATTGCACAGTAATTGAACTATAGTTCTTTAACGCGTGAACATTTAAATTTAAAAAAAAACAAAATATGTTTTTTATTTTAGCTAAAAATTAACAAATTCTAATGCAGTTGCAACTAAAAGTGAAATTTAAACATTTTAAATTGAAAAAAATTTTGTGATGACCATGAAGATGACTATAATGTGAATAGTACAGATTGACAAGCGTATAAATTTTAACTATATATACGAGGTAAAATATAATAAACTGTAGTGTTTTTGCGACAGACAAATTAATATAGCATATTTATAAAATATAAGTTTTAGCTTTAATTTAAATGTATGAAAACACAAAAAAATATAATAATACGTTATAATAATAAAAAAAAAACGTATAGCACCAAAAAAAGTGCAAACCCAAGCGAATGAATAAATAAATAAATATATATATATTTACCAAGTATTACTTGCCCACGGATTATGATATCTATATATAATTGTGTGTGTGTGGTGTGTGCTGAAAATCATAATGTTATGTGTATGAATTGGTAATTGCACGCTACAGGTATCAATATTGCTAACAGATATAGTTATCGTAACATTTATTTTTGCGGCTTCGTACAATTTTTAGTTATAAAAAAACCTTGAGTAACTCTTCTCTGCCTATACCTTTCGCTATTTCTTGTTCCAAATTACA